GGAGGGATACGAGTGAGTGCACCCGCGGCCAGGTGCTTCGAGCAGGATGTCTGTCTGCTAGGTGTGTGAGGCGGTTGTGTTGCGGATTTCCCTATGTATCCAAGGGAGGCAGTGGTGGTCATTGCAAGGACTTCGTTCTTGGGTCTCTGGGTCGTGACGCTGACCCGAATTTATCTTGCTGTCCTGCTACCATAGCGAAAAATATAGGTGAAGTAATGTTGACCTGGAAGTGCCTGACCTAGCGTTGGTAAATCGTGACCTTGTGACCCGAGCTCACGCGGGCTGACGCCTCCGTCCTGCCGCCTATTCGGGGACCCGAAGCATGTTCTGGAGACGCTCTGCCTGTGCTTCTGCTGCCAAACCCTGCCCGACGCCGCGCTCCTGTTGGTTAATTGCTGCACTGGGGCCTCGGCGTGGCGTGACCTGACGTGACCCCGCCCTGGCGCAGGGTCAAGTACCCGGAGGACGAGCTGGAGACGCTGTTCCCGAGCCGCTCCGGCAGCCTCTTCTCCGAGTCGTTCCACCCGGCCTGGTTCTTGTTGGAGAACCACCACCAGAAGCGGCTACGATGACCTGCGCGCCGGGCTGAGCTTCCTGCGGCGCAAGGTCAACGCCGAGAAGGAGGGTCAGCTCAGCTTCCTCAAGGTCAGAGTGCCTGGCGTGCCGACCGTGCTCGGGTCGCCTGCCCGTGCTCTGGCCGCTGTGTTGCGGAAGGGGGTTCCGGGCGCCGTGTGGGCAATAGGGAGGCGCTGGGGCAGTGTGAGGACGCGGTGGAACCGCAAGGGCTGCCTGGATGGCCGGTCTACTTCAGTTGTACGGATGTAATGCTCTCCAGTGGAACCATGCTATTGCACAATTGTGGTATTTCAGAACGTGGTCCGGGAGTCACATGTTCCTCTATTGTCGCGTTTCCACTGGCGAGTTGTTCTTGCGGTCCATTTTCCGATTGGCTGTATCACTGTAGTCGCGGTTGACTCTACGCTGATCAGGACGTCTCACTTCTCTCATGCGTGTGCGGTAAGCACATGTGCAGACGATGCTCAATGATGCCTGTCGGGTGGAGTGCGTGCGCAGGCGTTCGTCGGGACGGGGCATCACGTGACGCGCCGTTGCAGGACTACGCCGGCCTGGTGATCGACCAGCTGGACGCCCTGTCGGAGATGCGAGAGCTGTTTTAAGCGGCACACGTCCGACCACGACCCCATGGTCACCATGGACCAGGCCATTAACGGTACGGCCGCCCGTGGCCGTCCTTTGCCGGCCTGCGGACGGTCCGCTGCAGTCCGCTTCCCGGCTGTGATGGTCTGACTGCTGGGGTCTGTTGTTGGGCCGTCTTGGTGTGCCCGCGGCACGACTAGAGATGTTGGCGGATGTTTTCCTTGGAAACCTGACCAAAGATAAGTGTTGCCAGGCTGTAAGTGAGATACTTTCGTAAATGGGATTTGTCTGCCTGTGTTGACGACATTCGCTGACCGTTATCGCGTTGTTGGAGGTTCGGCCAACTTGTCCGCCACTCGCCCGAGTCGGCCGCGGTAGTGACCTGACCCATCTGACAGCCACACTCCACCTCCGTCCACACCGCCTGACAGCTCACACCCCTCCTCCGTCCGCCGCCTGACGGCCCACACCCCACCTCCCTCCACCACCTGACAACTCGCACCCACCTCCGTCCACCGCCCTGACAGCTCACACCCCACCTCCGGCCACCGCCCTGACAGCTTACACGCACCTCCGTCCGCCTCGCAGCGAGCAAGGACGAGGCGGACAAGCTGTTCCAGGACGTGCTGCGGCGCAAGGACCGGGCCGACTCGACGCGCTCGGCACTGGCCGTGCTGCAGCGCTACCGCTTCCTCTTCTACCTCCCCGTCAGCATCGAGCGCAACATGCGCCGACGCGAGTTCGACGTCATCATCAACGACTACGCCAAGCGCGCGGCCTATTCGCGGATACGGAAGTTCAGGTGCGGCTGGTCTGTTTATGTCATGGAGAAAACGCATTACGTTTGAGGTGGTAGCTCTCTGAGGTTGCGGGGTGTGATCTGCTGGTAGGGAATACGAGATGCTGGAAGTCAGATGAGTTAGGGAGAGATTGGCTGGAGTCTTTTCAAGTCCAGTGCGGAGACCAGTGGCATGTAAGGGGAGTGGGTGTCAGGTTCTCGCTTTACAAGGTTTTGGCATCTACCTTCCATCTCCTCGTGGAAATTGTTTGGCCAGCTTGAGCTAACTCGGTTGCACTCCGCTCTAGGTCTTCAAGCAGGTGATGGCTGTCGTTGAGACGAAGATAGCCAACCTCCGGGACATCTTGAAGACGAAGCTCAAGGAAGTCAATGGCTCTTTTGAGGAGCAGAAGCAGATCATCCGGTAAGTTGGGGCGGCCACTGCCACCCATTCAACAGCCATGGTCACCTGTTCAAACAGCCACTGTCACCTGCTCAACAGCCACTGTCACCTGTTCAACAGCCACTGCCACATGTTCAACAGCCACTGCCACCTGTTCAACAGCCACTGCCAACCCATTCAACAGCCACTGCCACCCATTCAACAGCCACTGCCACCTGTTCAACACCACTCACACTGTTCAACAGCCACTGCCACCTGCTCAATGGCCACTGCCATCCTGCTCAACAGCTACTGCCACCTGTTCGTCAGCCCCGTCAGCCCTGCCTGTGCTGGGTCTGTGTGCGCCCTCGCTGCCCCCCCCCCCCCCCCCTCTATCCAACCGGAGGCGGCCGTGCCCGTTGGTCCTGTCGTGCCGGGGTGTGTGCGCCCTACCGCCCTGCCTGACCCCTGTCCCGGATGCCTCGCCAGGTACCTGGTCAGCCTGGACACACCCGGAGACGTCGGCTGGGAGTGTATCCTCTCGGAAGGCCCGCCTCATCCGCGCCGTGCTCACCTCGTGTCGCGAGCAGTACGCCTCCCCTGGCGGCTGGTGGCGGTGCGGCGACAGCCGGCGCCGGTTCTGGCGCGCCGCCGTCGACGCCCAGGTAACGGTGCCGGACGGCACGCGACGGTTTGGCCCGTCACAGGGCTGGTCTAGGGGCGTGGTGAACTGGGGTCCTATTGATGTTTGTTTTGACCGGGTGCAAGCAAGAAAGGCACAGCCGGGGGTTGCGTACAGCCACCGAAGGTGTGCGTTTCATCATCCGAAGTTTGGCATGCCACATGCTCCTCAATGTGGTGTTTATTAATCATATAATGTGTCTCGTGAAATAGAAGCGTATTCAATGCGTCTGTATACACCGCGGTGCTGCCTCTGTGTCATCCAAGTTGACTCAGCTAGGTGCGTTCCCCATGCGTATGGCTTTTCGCACGCCCTGCCGCGCCTGGGGATGTGGTCGGTACCTGCCTCGTGCGGCGGTTGTGCTCGGTGGGTGGGCGCCTGAACGTTCGGCCGCCACTCCCGGCAGACGACGGCGCCGCCTATCGTGCTGTTCATTGAGGACGTAGGCTGACCGGATGACTGGCAAATTCCCGGGACTCTTCAAACTGGGACAGTGCTACTTCCAAGGCGAGCTGTACAGCACACCCGAGTCGGCCCGCAAGCCAGACTCAAGGTGGGTGGGTCGCCTGTGCTGCTCTCGCAGTTGCGCCGGTCGCTGCGGGCTGCCACCCTTCGAACACTGTAGCGATTGCGCTGCAGCATAAGCGACTTGGGATTGGTGCTTGGAGGCCATGTTCACGCGCACAGGGACTCCTGTGTACGCACGACCCCCTATTTACCCTACGGAACCAAAACGTGCGCTGTGGGATCCCTATGCACCGTATGGGACCCCTATGCACTCTATGGGACTACTATGGACTATGGTACCCTATGATGCCTCTATGTATCTTGTAAGATATCCATGTACTCTATGGAACCCCTGTATGCGCTATGGTGACCCCTATGTACCCTATGGGACCCCTTGTGCAATTAATGGGACTTTTATGTACTCTATGGGACCCTGATGTACCCTATGGGACCCCGATATACCCGATGGGACCCTATGCACTTGCTACTGCCGGAAGACCTGTTGTGTCCACAGGGCAATGTGCACTTAAACGTGCAATAATTAATGTCATGATGTTCTTTACCAGCACAGCCCGGTTGATTGTGTTCTTTTCCTGAAATACTGACATTGTGATTTGTCCGGGTGGTGTTTCCTGCTCAAACAGCATGGTGTTGTAGCACAGCCAGCCGGTCCCGTGTCCCGCGTGAGCTGTGGTATGTCCTGTGCGACCGAACGAGAGGTGGCGTCGCCCATTGTCCTGCCGTGAGCGGCTCTGGCCCGGCTCGGCAGTGTGGCGGCGCCCTGGGGTGGAGCCGTACCCCTGCCAGCGCCGTGCTGCCTGTGCCCGGCGTGCTGCGGTGGGCCTGTGGTGCCGGCCGCCCGGTGTCCTGTCCGCCTGAGACGGGCCGTGGTGCCGACAGCGGCTGGTGAGCAGCGTGGTGGAGGTGTGGTGCGCCCTGGTGCGCGGGCGCGCTGCTGCCCCACACGGCCGACTCGCCGGAAGCTTGCTTGGAGCGACACTCTCCGCGAGCCCGTCTGGCTGGCAGGCCTGCCTGCGGGAGGTCACCGCCACCTACGGCAGTCTGCAGCTGCTCGGCGTGGCGCCCGAGGCGCTCGACGAGGTCAGCCAGCTCGTGTTCGACCTCAGGTCAGTGGAGGGGCGCGCTGTACGGGGCCGAAGCGGCGTGCTTATTCGCGTGTGTTGAGTCAGTACTGCCTGCTGCGCCCTCAGTAGATAGCTGAGGCACATGAAATGTAACTGAGTATTCGAGTGCTCTGATCACGATTAGGTGACGTTCATCCGAACAATGACGGCGAGTGACAATTCCCAGCACTCAGTCGCTCTGTAGTGCGTCCGCTGGTCTGCTCGCGAGCTCGAGGGCAGCCGGCGCCACCCCACGCTCCGCGTAGCCGCCTGTGACCGGCCGCCTCCGCTCCAGGAAGCACTGCCTGATGACCATGTTCCGGCGCACGATGGAGGCCGTGCGTCAGCTGCCCGGCGCGACGTCGCCTGGACGCTGGAGCCCTCCCTGGACGCCAGCGGATACGGCTGCACCCGGCTGGTAACGGCTCACCGTGTACAGTCGCCACGGAATGTCCTCGCCATGTATTCAGTGATACACATGGCGTAAACTATAATGACGATCGTGGCTACCTTTTCGTTTGGCCTTTCAGCTAAAAAATCGCTGGGGTTGGTTTGGGGGGAGGGGCGGGGGGACGCGCTATTGAACACCTGACCGGCCACCGCTGCGTTCCAGCTGACCCAGTTCATGACTTCGGTGACGGATGTGGTGGTCCAGGCCGAGGAGCAGGTGCTGACGGCCGGGCCGCAGGAGACGCCCCTCATGCAGAACGAGACGGTCCGCAAGGACGTGGTGGTGCTCGTCTACAACCTGGTGGCGACCTTCGCGCAGGTGGGCGCGTCGCTCCACTCTTCTGCTCCTCTGCTCCTCTGCTCGTCTGCTGCCGGCCACGGCTGGACAGCAGTGGGACAGACGAGCGACAGTTTACTGTCGGCTTGGCGTGAAGCGGCCTCTGACGTGGGCGTGCCGCTCCTCTGCTCCTCTGCTCCTCTGCTCCTCTGCTCCGGCCACGGCTGGACAGAAGTGAGACAGCCGAGCGGACAGTTTCTGTCGGCCTGGCGCGAAGCCTCTGACGTCGGCGCGCCCTAACGCTCCAATCGTCGCCATCGGCGTCTCACTGGGGGCTTAGCGAGCCGGCGGTTTGGGTCGAGCCGTTTTGCCGTCGGAAAGAAAGACTCATGTCTTCGCAGTGGAGATGGTGATGGAGGTTTTCGCCTCTATGATGACACTGCTGGTCGTGCCTCATCGCATCGGGCTGCGTGGAAGGCGCTAGCTGACTGCAGCGTCGCCCTGTCCGGAGGCAGACGCACTTGTAACTCCGTCATCGCCGCCAGGTGCTGGAGCGTCTGGCCTTCGAGGACGCCGAGTCCGAGGAGGGCTCGGGCTCCGAGGATGGCGCGCCGGCCGTGGCCGAGGCGCCGAGCGTTGAGTACCGGCTGCTGGTGGTGCTCTCCAACTGCCACGTGCTGCGTGTCAGCCGCGCCCCCCAGCTGGCCGACGTGTTCACCTCGCACGGGTGAGGCGGGTTAGGGAGGAGAGGCGTGGTGTGCGGCGCCGGCACCGCTGGCTCTGGCTCACTCGAGATGGTTCTTGGTCAGTGGGATGTCTTTGGTTTGAAGAAAGTTATGTAAGTGTTGGATGTCTGTCACGATGGCTCAGTTGGTTAGAGCGCCTGCTTCCGATCCAACCCCCGTGGCGGGGTGAGTTCGAGTGCTTCATGCGCTCGCTATTTGTTCTGGACAGTATGGCCTGCGACCGGTGGCAGCGGTCGCGCTTGACATAAGATAACATCAGATGGCAGGACAGACCGCGCCGAGCGTTGTGGCACGCTCAACTTTCACGACGAAGTTCTGCCGTTGACGTCGAATTGCGCGATTGGATGGGAAGGGCAGGGCTCACACAACAAACGCTACTGAGCGTGAGCTCTGATCCTAGAAATTCAGTCATTCAAAAATTCAGGTTGCATGTATTGATTAGTACCGATTTCAGGTTATCCACCCCCACTGTCCGTAGGCGGTGGGTCCAGGCCAGTGACTTAATGTCACAATCCTTTCACGCTCATCAGGCTCTGCGACCTTTGGGTGCAGTTGCTGACCTATTCTTAACTTCCGTGACGTCCGGGCTTCACAGCTGCCTACCGAAAGCGTGCCCGTCAGCCGATACTTTGCTGTTGTTGCTGGGTCGCGTCGCTGCGACGCTCGTCGCTGAGATCCCTGCTAAGCGCTGTCGGCCGTTGTGACGGCTGATGACCGGTGCCGCTGGAGCGCCCGTGGTTGACCGCCACCACCGTCCGGCATCGGCCAGGTTCCCGGCGGCCGAGGTGCAACAAGGCTGCAGAAGGTGACGGACGTGCTCTCCGACCTCGAGCAGAAGCTGTTCGAGGCGTACATGGAGAGAAGGCTGACCCCATCCTCGGTACGGACACGCCGAAGGGCGCCCGGCCTGGCGGGGCGACCCGGTCAGGCGCCGCCTCTTGGTGCGGTGGGTGGTGGGTGTATGAGCAAAGTCGTTCGTTAAAATACCGCACCGCAGTGAGCGTGACCTCCGTGGCTACCTTTATACACTAGTTGAGCGGCATGGCTTGACGAGGAGCAACCAAACTGGGCACTCGGAGGGGGCGGTGGCGGCCTGACCACCCGCGCGGCTGCTAGCCAGGACACCAGTGACGCTCGGGTGCCTGAGCACTGTCGGCGGCCACCGTCGGGTTTCGGGTCGCGCGCGTGCGCTTCCGCTGTCGACGAGAGTCTCGCCGTCCGGCGGCCGCTCACGCCGCTTCGCCGCCCGGTAACCGCGACCACCGCGTGTCGGCAGGCATAGTGGAGATGAGCATGTACCAGGCCGGTTCGACTGGTCCCACGTGCTGAGGCCGCCCACGGACGTCCGCGGCTATGTCAAGGAGTTATCATGAACTGCATCGGCGTCCACCACGAGGTACGGGAGCCGTCCCGGCGTCGGCGAAAGGGCGTGATGGTGCCGCCGATGCCGGACATGCACGTGAGCTTGTCATGCTTGCAACGTGACTTTGTCGGCACGTCCCAAAACCCAATGAACAACAGCCACGTGTATGCATAGCCACAAACATATTGGAGCACTCTCCACGGCAACGTGTTTTACGCATGGCATCCAAGCCGCTGGTGTTCGATACAGCGTAAGCAGACTGAATGTGAGGGAAGCGTACTGTGTTGTGGCGACATTTCAGTCCCGACCTGTCGCGTTCCGCGCCCCAGCCGGCAGCCGGCTCGTGTGGCCCCCCTTACAGAGCCTGACGCTCGCCCTCACCAGGTGTACTCCGTGTCGCCGCTGCTGGTGCGCCGCGTGCTCTGCAACCTGGTGGAGGGCGTGGCGGAAGAGCTGAGCCGCCTGATGACGTCAGTGGTGCGGATGACGCCGGCCGGCGGACAGCAGGCCCGTCTTGACCTGGCCGCCCTGCAGGAGACGCTCCAGCTGTACGTCACCGAGGCGGCCAGGTCAGTCAGCCCAGTGGGGTCGGGTCAGGTCAGTTTGGTGCAGTACATGGGGCTTCGACGAGCGGCTGTTTCACTCCTGGTCCGTGCGGATACACTGCGCTGCGCCTGAGCGGGACTCCCACCCGCCGTCGCGGCCGGCCGCGGTCGGCCAGCGGAGATCTTGTACTCTCGGGTTTGCCCGTCTGTAAGGATATCAGTGATTGTTTCTTGGTCGCCTGTGGGTGCATGGAAGCGTGTTAAGTTACTGTCACAGCCTCCCATGTCATTAATATCTCATGGTGGTGGGTCCTTTAACACTGGGTAAAGATGGGTAGTTGAGAATCAAACGAAGAACGCTCGATCCGGAACTCAACGTGACAAGGTGCAGGCAGCCAACCCGTTCGCTTACCGGCTGTGGGAAGCATTTTCAGGGTCTAGAATGCGGGACTTTCGTCATCGCTTTTGTGCTCTTAGTTTCAACGACTGTTTTCGGGATGACAAAGACGGCTGGTAACTGAGAGTAGTGACGTGCGTGCGTTTGTGGTGTGACGCTCACGGTTGTGACGCTCGGTGCCGCTCTCCTCCACAGGCTATCGTTCGTTGAGGCCTCGGAGTCGCTTCCCAACCATCAGGACCCGGCCGGCGACAAGCGGTGAGCGCGCGTCTGGAGGGCCGCCGGGCCGGCAGCCAGCGGTCCCCTTACGCCGGCGCGGTCAGGGATGGCACCGGGAAGCGACAACATCGGAGCCGCGCGGACCCCAGCCCCGTTCCCTGAGGGGCAGGGGCGGTTGTAGCAGGAGTGGGGGCAAGGGAGGCAGTTGCCCCGCCTCTGGCTAGCAGGCAAAACAGGGGGCAAGAGTATTTTCGCCCCCTCAAATTTTTGGCAGTTCCCCTTTTCCCAATGTTTAGGTATTCCAGCCACCCATAGATTGCCATGATTTGGATCAAGGAGGCCCCATAGCTCAGCTAGCGAGAAATGAATCAGACTCAGAATACACCTCTACATCAAGAGTCCGTTTTCTAGATCATGAGGCCACCTTCAGGCATAAGATACCCACGTTATAGATCAGTGGACCCCATGCTATGTTCAGAAGGCCCGCTACCTGGCCGGGAGGCCCTTCCGTTAGGAACAAGGAGACCCCTGTTCTGGGTAAGGAGGCAAGCTCTATTTAGGAGGTCCAATTTCTGGAGCAGGAGGCCTGTTCATAGATGAGATGGTCGCGGTCCGGATCGGGATGACCTGTTTTGGGATATCAAGGCCCCCTGGGCAGATTTGGAGGCCCCTTCGTAAATCGGAAGCATCAAGCTCTGGATGAGGAGGCCCCTCTGTGCATCAGGACGTTCTTTTCGGGAACAGGAGGTCTTGTTTAGGAAAGCGAGACCCTATGCAGAATAATCAGAAGGCATCTATTTTGGATATTGCTTGGATCTGACACATTTAACAATTTGATAAGTGGGCACATACCCTCGGTGCCCCTCCAACTTGAATACGATGCTGTCCAGTAGGCCTCCCTGCAGGGGACCGCATTTTGTCCAGGGGCCCCATGAGGAATCCTGCCCCCAATTCAAAATCAGTGGCGCGCCCCTGCCGAGGGGTGCCGCTGCTGGTGACGCCACCCGGCGATTCCCGGCGATTGAGCACCGGCTGGTGTTGTTCGCTGCCCCCTAATGGTGTCCAGTTGTTATCTAATCAGGTCACACTGCTGTCCCTGGACCACCAGACCGGCAGGGAATATAGAGAGCCTATCATCTTATCATGTGTAATGCGGCGACGCCTTTGAAGGCTCTTCAACAAAACGTCAGTGATTCGTAGCATAGTTAAACACGTTTAACCTCTTGAATGTAAACGTGTTAACACCGCCCTGTTTTGTCCTCAGGCTGGTGGAGGAACTTTTGAAGAAGTTCCGCGCCAATATGAAGCTGCAAATCATGTGCTTCACCAAAGAGCCCAGTCTCGAGGACTTTCCGTCCGACTGAAACGGGCGTTCTTAGATATCGGCCGGCCGTGGAACATCAGCGCATGGGCGGTCCTCTGCCCGTGAACCAGAAAGTGGCATTCCGTCAAGGTCGTGCATGCGGGACTCCCGCGGTGGTCGGGGGCTGTGATTGGTCGGCCGGGTGATGTCAGACGCGGCGTGAGCCAGTTGACGGCGTAGGCGGCGATCACCATAGCGATGTGATGTGAAGTTCGTCGCAGGGATGGGTCGATGGGCAGTGGTCGGCAGGCTCTTGCCGAACCGTTCGCGGTCATATGCATGTTCTGCGTCACCATTGGTTGATCCGCGATGAAAGCACTGATTGGTGGATGTGACCGCCCAGTAGTGGACTGTGGGCGGTGGCGGCCGAGCTAGAACTCTGGTACACTGTATAAGGAGGATGTAGTTGCTACGAGTGCTACTGGCAATTTGTGTGTTGCCAGCTGACATGAATTTTCCTTTGGCACGCGTTTATTTATTTTGCAGCGTATTTATGTATGGTCGTGTGACAAAGATATGTCTGTAAGAAATCTGTACCAAGAAATCCCATTTTCATAAGATTAAGCGCAAGGCCCAACCCTCAAAAACGGCAAAAGGTATATGCCCATATGACTGGGACACTGGAATGCCCATTTCCAGCAAGAAGACGCGTTATGCATTTTTCCGAAGATCATTTTATTGCTATCTACATTTATATAGAGCACATAATGCCACGCAGTTATCCTGTAGTATTGGGGTGGCTTCGGCAAACCGTCGCGTATTTGTAACGTTCCGTGTGTACGAGAACGGAAGGCGTGCGCATTCATGATCTTTCGTGTACTCGTCGCGTTTTGATGAGCTCCGCGCTGCGGATTGGTCCGGTAGAGTGCAGTTACTAGGTACTTTTGATAATATACCAATTGACACCATCAGCGGCAATCGTGTAGAAAATCCAGTTCCATATCTCGCGTGTTGACGCTTGTGAACTGAAGTTTCAATTGAAATTAGTATAGCGTCGTCAGGCCAGACCAAAACATTTCTGGGTCAGCGGATGATGGTACTCGGCCCCGGAGATGCTCTCAGAGGCAGTTGGTGAACAATATAGGCTACCAAATCAATAACGTTAGCATAACCTAACCTAACCTAACCTAACCTAACCTAACCTAACTTGACCTGACCTGACCTGACCTGACCTGACCTGACCTGACCTGACCTGACCTGACCTGACCTAACCTAACCTAACCTAACCTAACCTAACCTAACCTAACCTAACCTAACCTAACCTAACCTAACCTAACCTAAACTAACCAAACCAACATAACCTAACCTAACCAACCTAACCTAACATAACCTAACCCAACCAACATAACATAACATAACCTAACCTAACCTAACCTAACCTAACCTAACCTAACTAAAACTAATGCACAGATCAATAATAAACGGTACAGCCCGTGCACACGCGCGCTAGCAGAAAAAGAAGGGGGGGGGGGGGCATCTGTTGATCATTGTCACGTCAATACACCAACACACGGATTAGAGGAGAATCAGTAGCTGATAATTCAGGCAATGGGACAGCATCTCGTGGCCATTGCCATTCGATTGCACCAATACACGGAACAAAAAAGCATCAACTGCACCCACACCGTGGGCAAACAACCTTAAGGGGGGGGGGGGAGGACATCTCGTGATGCGGTGATTACACTAATGCACAGATCAAATGAAAAACTAATATACACGCGCCTGGCCCCGTGTGCCGGGTCCACCACCGATTAGCGACGACGGCGAGCAGTACTCTCCCCGCCGCGCATTAGCACCAGCTAAGATGACATTGCAGAGCATCTTGTTGCCACTTAAGTCGTGCGCGCAATCTCCTTTGGTCGAGAAGCGTGGCGGTTGCGTCGGCACACTGGCGCGTGACCGGAGGTCGCCGACAGTTTGCGCCCATGCAGCGGTCGCCGGCGCAGAGACGCCAGTGCACTGTTCGTCACGTCACCCGACTGGCGAACACAGACCACATGACAGCACACCGTCACTATCAATAGGTGCTCAGTGTTGGCGAGCGGCAGAACGCGTCCCGCACGGCGTCTGTGAGCGTGCACTGGACGACGGCACGCGCGTCGTACGGTCGAAAATCGCCAAGCCGTGCTAGTGCCAGATATGGCCGCTAGATTATGCTCCCCGGGGTCGCGTGCCAGGCTGGTTGTGCTGCGT